CAGGACTAGTAGGCAAACATGTGGGGAGATCAAGCAGGATCTCTGACTGATGAGTTGTTTACACATGGAATCAGGTTGGGTTTCTTTCCCTTTGATGTGAGGTGAGAGTGACGGCGCCAAACTGTACTGCAGATCACCTCTGCTGCCATTAAGGACAAATGGCAGAGAGGAGCCATGTGCTAACGCAGTACAGATGGAGCTTTTGTTGTTGAGCCGTGCCAGGTCCTCGATGTAAAACAGATGTCCTACTTAACGTCCATCACAGTGTGTTCAGTTCTGAGAATTAAGCCTCCCCTCTGTGGCTTTGTTTGTTAGAGAATGACTGCAATCAACACAGCAGCACATTTGAAGTGAATAGCAGTGACTAGAAAGCATTTAGCACTTGTTGTTTCTTCCATTTCCACGCTGATTGCTGTCATTATGTGTCTCTCCAGACAAGAGGTGCTGAGCTACCGCACACACTCCCCTGTGAAGAAAGACAAATCACTGGAGGACGTGCTGGGAAACCTCAACCTGAACTCCACCATCACTCCTCAGATGAACAACCTGGGCCTCTCTCAGGAGGGTGAGTGGAAAATGACGTAAAAAAACAACCCAGGACTCGTGTTTTCAAGCACGACACGTCCGTCTTTATGTCTCGGTGATGAAATGTATTATTTTTTTCCTCCAGTTGTGAATGAGGTGTGGCACCAGCAGGCAGTGTTCAGGCTGCTGCAGCTGATAGAGCTCCCCCTACTGGAGAACTTGCTAGAGGCAAAGGAGAGGTCTCAGTCTCAGCTGCACGGCATGGACAGCGACCCAGACCTGTTGTACACGTCCAGTTATCTGGATCGAGAGGTTCTCAAGGCCTTCAGTGAAGCACAGTAGGTTCTTTAGGCTTTTACATTATTTTATTATTTTAACCTTTATTTACTAAATTAATTTTACACATGGATTTACCATTGGTGCGGTGGAGTAATATCCCTATGACAAAATGAAATTGCCTTTGGAAAATTGAAGAAGCTGAGAACAGTTACAAGTATTTGGACATTTTTTTAAGGTTGTTTCAGTTACTTCAAGACTCTCCAGAGTCTATTATCTCTGCTTCACAAGTTTTAAGTTTAAGTTTAAGGGTTTTTACAGCAGTGACATACTATAAGGGTGACATAGGGGAAAAAACCCTAAATCTGATGATGAGGCGTCTCCAGGTCTCTAGTCTCTGTCACTTGATTCTCCAGAGTCTATTATCTCTGCTTCACATCTATGTTTCTCCCTCCACCCCAGGGCAGATGAGTGGATGTCCAGGGCGGTGGACTGTCTGGAGTTCCTGCCTGATGAACATGTGGTTGAAGTCAGCCGAGGTCTGGCCTCATGTTCAGATGACTTACCCCAGTGTAAGAAGCTCCTGTATGACGTCCTGGCACAGCATTACGGACAAACACAACAGGCACCGCTGCTGAGCAACCACATCTTCGACATTCACTCCGGCATCTCAGAGCTACTGGGTAAGAAGATGAGCTGCTGCGGGGTTGATCTGGGGCTTTTGTTTCCATGAAGATTTTGTATATAGTTCAATTGGTTCTCAAAAAGAGGTATACATTTTTCCACTGTGTTGTCAGTGAACGGGAAGCGAGATCAAGCTCTGGAGGCTCTGCAGCTGAGCCTGAAGTTGCAGGACTCTCGCAGCAGGGAGGAGCTGCGTCGACTCCTCTCATTCATGTCCACTGCAGCCAAGGCTCAGGAGGTGAAACTGCACAAAGAGGTGAGAACTTCTGTCCCTCTTTATTTTGTGTGGCTCCACTGTAATATCTCAGGTCTCCGTTAACGCTGAGTGTGTCACACTGCGTCAGGTGGAGAACAGAATGGCGGTGAAAAGGTCTTTTTCAAGTGCCATCATCTACAGCAAAAGGCTCCCCAAAGGAAAGGTGGACCTGATGGTTCTGTTCATGATGGACAGCCACTGCGATCTCTTCAAGGTCAGGCCTTCCACATCTTTTTACTGTAAAACTGACCACGACATTTAACCCATCCAGTTAACATTACTACAGACTATATAACATATAGACTTTTATTTTTAGACTACCATTGACATATTACCACAGCAGTGGTGCTATAAATGGACCTCCAGTATGAATGTCAGAGTCAATGGATGTTTGTCACTTCATATGACAAACACACACACATAACCATGACTGTGTTTTCATGTCTTATCTGAATCCTGATGTCTTTTCTACAGATTCCTGTTTCATTGCACAAGATGGTCAGTGATCGACTAATGAATATTGTGAAAGGCAAAGATCCAGACGCGATGGCAGGTTGGCTGTGTTTTTATTTACTAAAAAAATAATTTATAATTATGAGTATGACTATTTTTGTTAGAGAAGCAGTTTTGTTGCAGTCAAACACAAGACCTAGGAGGCGCTGTGGCACACAATGCTTTTAATTGATAGCTGGTGGACAGCGCCTGGTGCTGAAATAGCCAACATTCAGAGTTTGGTAGAGACACACTACTGTAGATGTAAGAATTAAGAAATAATTCTTACAAATATTACAAAATGTCAAAATTGGTTGAATCAGATCATCAACACGTTATTGATTGACAGCCCCATTTCTGAGTACAACTTTAATTGTCTAAAAAATAGTCTAATTGTTTGTAAAATTTCAAACAAGGGGCAAAAAGAAGAAAATGCTTAATGTTCTGCTTTATCATATCATGCTTAACTTTACTTATTTTTTCCTTTAAATATGATCAGAATTACCAAAATGTTTTTCATTCATTCATTTTTAATTAAGAATTATTTTCCGGACATGGTGCATATTCTACCTATAAATATAAATATAAAATTATTACAATGCCGCACCAAATTCCTAAAAGTATATGTAAAATTTTACTTGTGTCTAAACTTACGTGGCCCTCCCGCTGTCATAAACGATGTCTTACTTTCCACTGCCTGTCTCTTCACTGCAGGGTCGACCTACTGTACCAGACTCAGTGCTAAAGCCTACTCGGACAATGCGGAGACAACAACTAAAGAGGAACTTTGGTCATTGTTACGGACAATTCACGAGAACTCTGCCCTC